GGCTGCCACAGAATGAATCTAAGATGGCTCCCCACTGCGGCCAGCCATTGGTTTATAGTGGTTTATATTGGTTTGTACTGGTTTATACTGGTTTATACTGGTTTAGAATGCTTTATCATCATTTAAGGCACTAATCCAATATGGCGCCCAAAATGGCTGCCTCCATTGGAATTTACAAAATGGCTGCCCAAAATGGCTGTCATAGCATGAAGCTAAAATGGCTCCCCAAGATGGCTCCCCACTATGGCCACCCATTGGTGCATACTGGTTTATACTGGTTTATACTGGTTTATACTGGTTTATTTTGAGTTTAAGGCACTTAACCAATATGGCGCCCAAAATGGCTGCCCAAAATGGCTGTCTCCATGGGGGTTTTCAAGATGGCTGCCCAAAATGGCTGCCACAGAATGAATCTAAGATGGCTGCCCAAGATGGCTCCCCACTATGGCCACCCATTTGTCCATACTGGTTTATACCGGTCCATACTGGTTTATACTGGTCCACACTGGTTTATACTGGTATGTACCGGTCCGTACTGGTCCGTACTGGTTTATACTGGTTTATACTGGTCCATACTGGTCTGTACTGGTTTATACTGGTTTATACTGGTCCATATTGGTCCGTACTGGTTTATACTGGTCCATACTGGTCCATATTGGTCCATACTGATTTATACTGGTCCATACTGGTCTGTACTGGTTTATACGGGTCTGTACTGGTCCATACTGGTCCGTACTGGTCCATACTGGTCCATACTGGTTTATACTGGTCCGTACTGGTCCATACTGGTTTATGCTGGTCCATACTGGTTTATACTGGTCCATACTGGTCCGTATTGGTCCGTACTGGTCCATACTGGTCCATACTGGTTTATACTGGTCCATACTGGTCCGTACTGGTCCATACTGGTTTATACTAGTCCATACTGGTTTATACTGGTCCATACTGGTTTATACTGGTCCATACTGGTTTATACTGGTCCATACTAGTCCGTACTGGTCCGTATTGTTCCGTACTGGTCCATACTGGTCCATACGGGTCCGTACTGGTTTATACTGGTCCATACTGGTTTATACTGGTCCATACTGGTTTATACTGGTCTGTAGTCGTCCATACTGGTCCGTATTGGTCCATACTGGTTTATACTGGTCCGTACTGGTTTATACTTGTTTATACTGGTTTATACTGGTTTATACTGGTCCATACTGGTTTATACTGGTCCGTACTGGTCCCAGAGGTCGTCGGCTGCGCTGACCCCCAGGGCTGCTCCCGGGCCTGCGGCTCCGCCCTCGGCTGCTCCAACGTGGCCTATCCCCGGCTGGTGCTCAGCCTGCTGCCGCCCGG